CCCACAGGACCACATCCCACAGGACCACATCTCCATGGACCATGTCTCCACGGACCATGTCCCCACAGGACCATGTCCCACAGACCACATCCCCACAGACCACGTCCCACAGGACGTCTCCACCTAACCTCATCCCCACAGACCACATCCCCATAGACCACGTCTCCGCAGGGCCACATCTCCCCACAGGACCTCATCCCCTCAGGACCTCATCCCGTGTGTCCAAGGAAGCTCCAGGGTCCTCAGAACCAGCTTCATGTGGCCAGGCCTGGCCCTCCTGCCCAGTGTCCTGCCCTGCTCCCTTGCAGCCATCACTCTCAGGTGCCCTTGAAGCTGGAGGGCAGGTCAACACCGTACATTTCACCACCACTCAGCATTGGCCTGGGCTGGTTAGAAAAGCACTGGGTCTTCCAGACCCTCCTGTGCAGCCAGCCCTGGGGCCTGAGCTCACATATGCAGCTCACATCTCCTCCAGGACAGACCCTGGTGATGGCATCTATAACAAGTATATGAGCTCGCAAAGGGGGCACATGTGAGTCCCCAGTCCCTGGTGGGACAGACAGAGTGGGTCAGACACAAGACAGCCCCTTCCGCATACACGTGACCCTCGGACTTAGGCCAGCACCCAGGAGCGTCAGCACCCACGTATGGACACAAGGCAGCCCCTTCCGCACATACGTGGCCCTCCGCCTTAGGCCAGCACCCAGGAGTGTCAGGCAGCCCCTTCCGCACACACGTGGCCCTCGGCCTTGGGCACCCAGGAGCATCAGCACCCACGTGTGCATGCTCGTGTAAGTCCTTAGCCGGCTGCAGGGTGCAGAGAGGGGTGGGCAGCTCTGGGAGTCTTGGTGCTGGGTGTGCTCCTGGCCTCAACGTCTCCTGAGCAAACTGGGGGCTCTGTGGTGGTGTAGGAAGCCACGGACTCAGCCCTGAGAAGCTCAGGTAGGCAGCCAGGTGGGGGGTGGCAGACCTAGAGCCTTGGGCAGCCGCCAGCGGCCGCCTCTGCCAGCCACCACTTTGCAGCCGTGTTTGCAAACCTCAGCAGGCTTGCCAAGCCTGTGCAACCCGCATTGTCTTCTGACTGGGCCTCCGCCAGAGACACTCCACAGGAGCCACTCAGGTGCAGTTCCAGGACACTGAGGGTGGAGGTCTGGTGGCCAACCCTGGACGGGGCCGGCTGACTGGAGTCTCCATGCGCAGCCCTGCGCAGGCAAGTGCCACCACTGACCAGCCTGTCCGTGGGAATGTGGCTGCAGCTCCCTACACCTCTCAAAGCCCCTGGGGTGTGGTCCACTCAGCCTGGGATAGTGAAGCAGCTCTCACCCCGTTCCACAGGCCCCAGGCCCAGAGTTACCCAACACACGCCAGCCTCCCAAAGAGAGGAAATACTCCTGCAACCTGGCAGCTCCTCCCACAGCGGCAGACCCAGGCTTGGCGTCCTGGCAAGGTATGGGCTGGGTCTCTGCAGCGTACAAATGCCTCCGCGTGTGGGGGTGCCCTCCCTGGACCAGCAAGCTGGGATTTGGCAGCAGGGCTGGAGCTGGCGGACTCCAGTGTGGAAGACACAAGCCCCTGCAGCCCAGCTGGCCATCAGCTGCCCACTCGCAAGCAGGCCAGCTCCCAGCGGCCGCGGCCTGCCCAGCCTGCCCTCTTCCATGGCAGGAGCCCCCAGGTTATGCACCCCCACCCAGCCCGGTACCCTGAGGGATGGTCTCACCCTATCTGGAGTGGCTGAGCCTGGCTAGGAAACGTGGAACTGTCTCTGCTGCCCCTCCCCCGGCCCCTCTAGGGCCGCCGAGACCCCCAGACGGTCTGGCTCAGGCCTGGGTAGGTAACCAAGCATCTCAACCGAGCACAAGGCCGAGCCTCCCACAGCTCAGTTCTCTCAGCCTCAAAGCCTCCTGGTTCCTATCCCCACCTCGGGGCTCCGTGTGCACTGGCCCACGCTGCAGGGGCCTTGCTGGACCCCTAGGCATCCTCCCAGCAGCCTCCCGGGCCCCCCACCAGAAAGGAAACACACTTCAGACAAACAGAACTCACCCAAGACTCGCCCAAACCCCACATTCCAGACCTGTGGGTGAGGGGCTCTGGGGCCAGCCGAGGTTGGGGTGCTACCAGGACACCACAGTGCCTGCCCCTGCCCCGGCCCCTTCCCCGGTCGGTTGTCCTTGTTGTTCCCAGGTCACAGCGTGCCCCGCCACCCCCAAGCAAGGCCTTTGCTGTTCTTCCGAAGGTGCCTGGGCTCTGTACTGAGAACCTGGCTATGTGGAGTGTTCCCACATCGAGGGGGAGGAAAGGGCAGGGCCTGGCTGGGATGCTCTGAACCAACCCTTGGCCGGGGCTCCGGCAGGACGGAGCTGGTGGCTGCTGTTCTGGCATACTAGCCCAGGCCGGACACTCACAGCCACGGCGAGTGTTGATGGCTGTGTCCCCTCTGCCCACCCAGACCCCGGCGCTCCTTGCAGGGTGACCTCAGTCACAGCGCATGATGGCCACGCCCCCACCTACCACGTCAATGAGCTGAGCAATGGACAAGCCGAAGCGGACAAGGACCACGTCCGAGATGTTGGCCACGGGTCGGGACCACTTGTTGTAACCCGAGAAGAGTTTCTTCAGGAGCCGCTCCTCGGCGTGGGCCCGGGTCTCCACATGGCTGCTGGCTGCGGGGAGAGGCAGGTCAGTGCTCAGGTGCAGGTGGGACAGGAGCCAGGAGCTGTCCTGGCTGCCCCAGTCCCCTGCCCAGCACGCTCAGCCACGTCCGCTTCCTTTCAGCTCCTCACAAGAGCACCGCCCACCCCAGGACCTCTGCGTGTGCCGGGCGTGGCATGCGCTGCCCTCCTTTGGCTTCCGTCTCTCTCCCACCCCTGGGTGTAACTGTGATTTCCTCCGGGAAGCTTCCCAGGCCCCTCAGCCCACAGAGGCCTTTCCAGCACCTTGCACCGCACCACAAAACCAGGCAATGGATGGGCTGAGAACTGCTTTGGGTCCCCTAACTGACTTCTAGGGAAGGGCTGTGCCTCCAGCGGCCGGCGAGTCAGAGGACACTTGGGGGTAACAGCAGCACGGGATGGGGCACAGGGCAGCGGGGCCAGCCCAGGCAGGGAGAGGGAGGAAGAGGAAGGAGGATCGGCCCCCAAAAGCGCCCGCTTCCTAGGGAATCTCCTGTGGTTCATCAATGCCCTGATGCTGGAGGAGTGTTTCAGATGCAGGTGCCCAGCCCCCTCCGCACCCCAGCCCTCCGCACCCCGGCCTGCCCGAGCTCTTGGTCAGACCCAGAACGCCCTTGATGAGTCGCTCTGGAGGAGCACAGCCCCAGGTCGAGCACAGCCCCAGGTCCATCTGTGCTCCAGGTCTGGGCCCCGGGGTCTGAGGTGTTCCCCGCCTGTCCTGGGCGCTGCCACATGGGGCAGGTCTGGATGGAGGGGGACTTTCCACCTCCCTGCTGGGCCCCGCTCGCCTGAGAGCGCAGACAGGACTGGGGAGGGGGAGGCGTCAGTTCTACACCCCTGGGAGCCTTGACTCCAAGCCCAGAGTCCCTGCTCCCGACCGTTCTTCCTGGAGAAAAGGTGGGTGGGGGCCGCCAAGCGCAGAGGCCACCCCTCTGATCCCCTAAACCGGAGGAAGCAGGCATGGGCGTCTTCAGGGAAATTTAGCCTGATGGATGGGGGAAGGGCGAGGGGGCCCCACCTCTGTTCAA